GCCTTCAGCTGGGAGTTTGCAGAGGTTTCCTATCATGGACACGGCAGGATAAAGTCAATGCCTAGAATGACTTTCAAGGCTTCTATGACGTGGTGTTAGCCCTTCTTTCAAGCCCTATCCTTGTTATTCTCCACTTTACATTTTGTTGGTGACTCAATCACACATATAAACATATGCAATCGTGCGCATGTGCATGTGTGCACACACATACATGCGCACACGTGTGCATGCTATGTTGCTCAGTCCCTCCATGCCTTAGGACATGTGGTTCCCTCTGATGGAAATGTCTTCCCCACCATTCTTGCTAATGTCCATTCCTGGCTTGGAGCCGTCATTCCTAGCTCCAAGCTTGTCTTTTTCTCCAAGCATTCCTTAAACCCAGGCTAAGTCATCTGATCCTCCTCCTCTGTGCTCGCCATGTGATGTTGAAATGACATGGGTGTCTGTATCCCCATCCTGACTGCCAGCTTGTCCAGGGATGAAAGTACATCATACACACAATGGTAACTCCTCAACAGATATCTGTATAACTGAAGCAGATTCTTTTTGTTCACCCTCCACTCCCCTCCCTTGTTCAGGATTACAGGCATAGGTCTCGGTCATCCTAGGAGCTTACATCAATGTTCACTATAGAAGGATGCTCCAAACAGGCATAACTACTTGACAGGTAAGAGGAGACAAGGGTTAAAATTAAAGGTTAGATGACTGGCACTTTCATAAAAGAGGTATCTATCAAAAAGTCCTCAAATCTCACTGAAATGTTCCTTATTATGGTACTTGGTAGTTGTGAGAAAATGACTCCATTCTAGTGCCTGAGAACATACAAATATCCTATATTTAAATATAGAAATAAACAGAAAAATTCATACTGATAACCAGAAAATATAAATGTGTCCATAAAGTCTGGAAATAGATAATAGGACTTATTTTTTTGTTATAGATTGAAGATGTCCTTGATGACTTGTGTTTTCACCTGTTTGCAGACTTAACCCTGCTTGCTTAAGGGGAACTCAGTAAAGCTACTGCAGTATATATCAGCAATATCGAGAGAAACTGGCTTTGATCCACATTCTAAAACTGGACTTGCAGCACTACCAAATCACCCAAATATAATTTTGACAAATGCCATGTCAAAAAAATGTAGACATATGATTTTCTTAAGGAACCCAAGCTCCCGAAATAAGGTAAGGAAACTTTCAATATGTCAGCAGCCTTTCTTGCTTCTATTGCATGCATATTACACATGGTTTGGAGGTAGCCCTCCAAAATATTAGCTGAAAGCCTTCTCGCAAAGCAAATCTTTCCCACATCCTTCCCTGCAGTTCCTCTTTAAGAGGTGTCAGCATGGCTGAAAGAATGAAGTGGCTGCACATTGTTTGGCAGTGCTATTATGTGCTTAACATTTCCATAACAAAAGTGCCACTCGACTTCTCCCCGATTAATGCGGCTGGAGGGTTCTTGTCGTCCTTTAATAAAACATTGTTGAAATCATTTATTTAGAGCCCCTGGTTACTAGTGGGAGAATGACCATCTTTGTGCCAAAATATAGTGTATACAGTCCACTATTTTGTAGTAGATCATTCTGTTATTTAAGAAATTGATTAAATGGATGCCTTAGAAGGTATTTATGCTAATAGCACATTACTTATGTCATTCAAATAGTCAAGGGTGAAGCTTTTCAACTGTCCAGCAGAAGCAATCTCTCCAATAGAATACAGTAACTTCTGACTTTACTCAGCTCACAAAGCTGCAAGACCCACTGGAAGCCCAAGCCTCCTGGAACTGCTCCTGGGCCATGGGCATTGTAACAAGATGCTTCCCAACAACCTTGCTTTGGGGAGCTGGGAGAGACCGGGTCAGCTGACCCTGTTTCCGAAGGTCCTTGGTGTAAGATGTCAGAAACCAAATCATGTGTGCTTTTCTTTTTTACGGGATCAAAAAGGGTCACATGAGGAAGTTGGAGAACTTCCACTGTTGAAACCTGTAAGCTAATCATGCAAAGGTAAAGTTGAAAGTGGGAAGATTTTCAGTGCTGAGTCTGCAGTCTTGGAAAGTTCTCAGGGCACGTTCCTCTCTTTTCATTTTATACAACACAGCATTGCTGGGAGGAATCGGGGCACAAATGCTGGAGTGGTGAGGAAGGAACCTCCCACTCTACATGATTTCTCATGACTCTTCAGTCCGGAGAGACTGCTGGTTCTGAGTTGTCTCCACCCTACTCCCCTAGGAGAGCTGCAGTGTACCCTGACATGTTCTGACATGTGGTGGTCCCTGACATGGAGGCCCCTGAAGCGTGTGGTTTCCTTCCTTGAGGACGTTTGTCAGGACCCTGCCCACGCTAAAGGATGTCTTGCTACTTAGTGCAAGAGTTTAGTTCCCTCCGGCCATTTCCCACTTGACACACGTGTATTGCCCGCGTACATTGCTAGATATTGTTGAAAATAAACAGAGACCTTATGTTATGTCCATTGTGGTCATACACAAAAGCGTTGCCGTGTGCTTGGGTGAGCAGTGAAGCCTGAACCTCCTTCCATTTACTGTATGGTCACTGTCAGCTCAATGAACTGCCCCCTTGTTCTCCACCATTGTCCCACACTCCCTTAAACATTTGTCACTGAAGTGCCTCCAAAGACAAATAAACTGTCACAGAGAATGCAAACCTGCTAACAGGGAAATAGGAATGGCCGGGAGGACACAGATTTTCCATGAACTCCTAAAAGGAGTTGCTCTCACCCTGGAAGACTTCTGTTAGAAGTCGGGTGCTTTTTAATACTACCCTGGAAAAGCCAAGGCTCCCTTGCCTTCAGTAATGGTACTTCCAGGCATTCTCCATGAGACATTTGGCCTTCTCAAATGTCCAAAATTCCAAAGGCTCCCCTGAGAGCGTGAGATATTACAGATGTCAACATCTGTAAAAATCTTTTCTGCCCAGGAGCAGATGGCAACCTATAATCCAGGAACCTAACATCTCAGAAACCTGTTCTGGAATTCACTAGGCTGCAGAAGGCTGACGGGGGCTTAGGCTCTAGTGTAGAACTGTTTAAATTAAAATGGACCACCGATCAATGTTCACTTTCTCCAAAGAAGAAAGCAGAAAGCCTCGAGTCCTTGCGCTCCCCAAGAGTGAGTTGTGTTGATTTACTCCAGGCAGATGCTTTTGACAGGACCCTGTAAAATCAAGTCGTGAGTTTATTGTAGCAGTTAATTATCAGGCCTTTTCTAGTGCTAATGCCTTTTACTTCGTACTGGGGAAAACTGGGCCTTTTACTGGGACAAAGACTTAACTTTTAGTCAAGAATGTGTTAAAATAACAGGAGGAGATGATTTAAATATATTTAAGGACAAATGCAGAAGCATTTGCTAACTCTTGGTTTTGTAAAGAAAGCTGATTTCATTTACAAGTCTCTTGGAATACTCTTTGTTCACTTACCAAAGAAACAACGCTTTCAGCTTTATTTTAACAATATGTTTACTCAACCATTCAGGTGACCCGGTTCTAGCCACACACCACTCTCCTGGGCTGACCTGACACCACAACTATCTCAGGCTTTCTGATGCTATGCATGTATGAATCTTGGTTTTAGATGCACTAAGAAATGCCTGGAAGCCGAGCGAGTTAGAGGCAAAAGAAACTTCCAATGTAGGGGTGGGAGCGACTGGGAGGAAGTTGGAAGGGGGCATAGCTTTGTTAATTACTTCAGGCAGCAGAGAAATCTGGTTATGTTTTCTCAGCACATGTTAATATCATATAAAGAGACACGAGATCTTGCTAATCTGTCGACCCCTCAGACAAAGTTTATTTGTGGTGACTTTTAAACTCCTGACTTGCCTTCCAATCACCGAGTTTAAAATGAAAAGCTTTAAATAAACACCAGGAATAGAAGATAAATAAACTTTTTTTCCCCCTTGCAAGTGCCTAGCTTGGCGAGGTTCAGACTCAAATCCCCAGAGGACAGAGCGCTCTCTTTTGTGTTAATGTTTAAAAGATTTTCCAATGCCGGAGTTTATTCCTACTGCAAACATTTCTATTTACAAGGTCAAGTGTATCAGCACTCGACACAGCTTAAGAGTGTAATTATTTATCTAAGGGCGTTTGAGTGTAGATCAGTAGCTCTGGCAGGAACCCAGCCTTCAGCCCACTGCTAAACAACTCCTCACAACAATATTACAAGTTCTGGTAATTGTTCCTCTCTCCAGTATGTTTACTTTTGCCTGCGGAATGTTTTGTAACAAAATTTTGTACTTTTTCACCCAAAGTGTGAAAATGACTTTGAAGTTGAGTCTCCCATGTTTCCTAAGACCTATTGGTAACAGATGTTATTGGCATGTTTGATTGCAGGACAAGGTCTTCTAGTAGCCAGAGAGGAGACTCCAGAGGGTGGGGGTGGGGGGGGGTCCCCAGTGGAAAGGAGGGTAAAGAGACGTGTGGGTTAGCCCCAAACTATGCCAAGCCTCTCCACAAATGTAAATACCAATGGAGACCAGTCAAATTATATCTTTTTAGCTGCCTCATTTACAGATGTTTAATTGTTCATTAAATTGAAGGCAGAAATAATAGCCCTCATTTCTAGTCTTTAACTGTATTTTAATTTCAGTTGATGGTTGATAGATTCCCACTGGCCCCTCCATCCTGCTTCTCACCCATTATTGGGTTAACCACAATGTGACTCTGGAAAGTAACTACACCATATTCATTATTTAAAACTCTTTACTGATGTACACATTTTAATAAAATCAAATAACCAAAAAAAAAAAAAATAGACAAAGCCACAGTTACTTAAAACATAGGATTTTTTTAAAAGTCTATAAAAATACAATGTTTAAGGCAGTTTGGAAATGCATTTATACATTTCTACAATGTTCATAAATTCTCTTGAAAATAAGAATGTTAACTTCAAATCTATAAAATACACTGTACATTTTTAAACTGTTCTAGATAGAGCACACTTCACAATTGATGGTCGTTCTGGATCCCTGGTGACAATTGGATTCTTTACATTTCAGGCAAGAAAGGTGTACCACGGATGTGGATTTAAATTTTTTAATTTCTTTTTAAAAAATAAATTATTCTGAAGCATACAATTTATAAAAATTCTATATACAAAATACAGCAACTGGTAACAAATCCCAGTTTTAATACATTTTATATACGAAGTACCAGGGGTGAGCGCCCTGATAAAAGCAGAGGCAATATATGTTCTCTGCATTTTTGTACATACATTTCTTGGTGTAAAGAACAAAAATGACAACAAAACAAACATCATAAAGAGGCTTTCATAAATGGCAGTGCAGAGCTCTTTTAAATAAAAACTTGCATTGTTCAACACCACTAGAAACTCTCTAGATAGCATTTTTGGATCCTTAATCCTAAGCAATGTGCTAAGAGATCAGAGTGGTGGCAATGAAATTAAAGTCAAGGGCTCAAAACTATCCAAATTCAGGAAAATTAACCCTTCTCATGACCGCCACCCTTACATCCCGCACCCCACCCCCCCTACAAAAACAATTCTGGGCGCGGAAACCAAGAGTAAACGAGAATCAGTTACGATTGCAATGTCCTCACTGGCCACAATAAAAGTCGATACCGGCACCCCCCTCCCTCCAGGAGAAATACTAATAAACAGTCCCTATGCAAATATAAATCCTTCTTCAAAACTCCCGCTCCAAACCCAGTCCCTTGAAACTCTTAAGGCCCCTCTGGTCATTATCCTCTCTTCGGAGTCCAGAAACACGGTTCTGTCCCCCTGCCAGGCCCGTCTCATGCCGGGGGTCTGGAGCTAGGCAGGCTTCTGCGGGGAGTTTCTGGAGCCAGGAATGGGGGCAGGGAAGGATGTCCAAAAAGTCCTGCTCCGGAGAGGAGGCGAGGATCGTGCGACAAGTCGAGGGCGGGATATCGGCTAGGCAGAAGCCACCTAGAAAACGTTTTGGAAAAAAATCCCCGACTACCCCTGTCCCCGAGCCACAGGTGCCCCGTCGCCGACCCTCCCGTGGCCGACGACGGGGGGCGCGAGGGCTAAAAGAGCAGCGGGAGCAGCAAGATGGAGGCGAGCAGGGTCCAGGCGCTTCGGGGTGCCGAGTGGCAGCCGCCGCCGCTGCTGCTCCTGCGCCCGGGCCCGTAGGGCAAGTCCCCGCGGCCGCCTGCCGCAGCAGCGCCGCCGCCCGGGCGCGGCGGGTGCGGGACCCCGTCCTCGTCGTCCAGCGGCTGATCGCCGCCCGTGCCCCCGGGGCGCTGCTCGTCGTCGTATTCCTCGTCGTAGTAGTCGTCCAGGCCCCCGTCCGAGCCGCTGCTGCCCGGGCCATTGCCCAGTTCGGCGCCGAAGCACAGGCGGGCCATGTTCTCCTTGACCGACTCGCAGATGGGCCGTTCCAGGCCGTCGCACACGCAGTCGTTGAGCAGTGCCGCCTTGGGCATGGCCAGCATGTCCTCTATGACCGTGCGGCACTCGTCGGTACAGCGCAGCCCGTTGAAGAGCTTGCCGCAGTAGGTCAGGTAGCGGCTGAGCGCCAGGTTGCAGCGGCTGTCGCGGTCACAGCGCCTCCGGGCCTCGGTGCAGCCCAAGACCCCGCCCGCGCCCGCGCCGGGGCCGCCTGCGCCGCCGCCGCTCGTCCGGGGCAGGCACGGCTCAATGGCGCGCTTGGTGGACTTGCAGTTCTCGTCCTGCGCACAGTCACAGTCCTCCAAGGCGGGCCCGCGACGCGTGTGGTTGAGCTGAATGAGGGCCGAGATGCAGTGGCTCGGGCAGCGCCAGCGCGAAGAGAAGGAGGCGGCCGAGGCCGGGAAGGCGGCAGCTGCGGCGGCGGCCCCCGGGACGTCGCTCCCGCCGCGCTGCGCCAACACCGGCGCGCACGCCTCGGCGTACTGGTTGTAGGCGTAGCTGCACTCCGGCTCCCCCTGGCACTGCAGCAGCGCCTGCCAGCAGATGAGGCGGCGGCCGTGCGCCAGCCCCGAGCCCCGCGGCGCCGAGCCCAGCAGCTGCAGCAGCGCCATCAGGCACAGCCAGGCGCCCGGCACGGTTCCCCTGCGGGCCCCGCCGCCGCCGCCCAGCAGCCCTGTGACCATCGCGGGCAGCGGCGGCCGCCGGGCGAGGAGCGGAAAGGAGACGAGGCGCGGGGAGCGGCGGACGGAGAGCCGGCGGAAAAGTTTGCCCCAGTCCTGCCAACTTCTTGCATGAGTGTTTTCATAAATCCATTCGCGCCGCCGGCTGTTGCCCCGCTGCTTGCAGAAGGTCGGCTCTAGCTTGGGCTGCGGGGGCTTCCTAGAAGTGCACGGCCGTGGAGAGCCCCTCCGGTCGGCCCCCGGCAGTGGCGGGAGGCGTTCACTGCCGCCCTCGGAGGTTGCGGGCCGCGGGGCCGCGGCGGGGCTGCGGGACCGCGCGGCGCCGCGGGTGCATTTTGCTCTGCGCCTGCAGATCCGTTGTGCGGCCGCGGCAGTTCCTTCCTCCCGGACTCAGCGCCGCGCCGCCGCCGCGGGTTCTTGCATCGCGCCGCTTCCTGGCTCGCGTCCGGGCGCTGCCCGCCTTCCCGCGGCCCGGCCGTCCGCGTCCCCTCCCCCTCCGCCCGCGGCGACCCCGGCCTCGGCTCCGGGGAGCTCTTTCCGGGCGGCACGGTGAAAACGGGAAACTCGGCGCGGCGGGAGAGCGGCGGCTCCCGGGCTTCCCTCGGCGGCGGCTTCTCGGGTGACAAGAAGCCCGGGGAGCGGATCCGCTGAGCCCGGCTGCGGACTCGCTCGCTGCGAGGCTTTAAATACAAAAGTGGGCCGGGAGCCCCCGCGTGGTGCCGCGGTGCCCCCTCATTATGCATGCATGGAAAAGCAAACAAACAAAAACATTAGCAACGCTCCTCCGGCTCGCCGAGCCCCGGCCCCGCGCGCTCCGAGCCTGCCCGCTTTCTCCTTTCTCCACTCTCCTTCGCCCTTTGCTCGGCCCCCTTTCCCGGCTTTTCGAGATGCTATTGGTCCCGCCTGTTGTTGTTGAAACTTTTTTTTTTTTTTTTTTTTACGAGCCGCTGGAGTGGGGTTGCGGAGTGGGGGAGGGCGGGGAGGGTGGTGGGCAGCTCACATTCAGGCATTCATGGCTTGAAAGGAACGGCTTAAGGAGCCTGACAGAGGCCCGGGAGCGCCTCCTACTCTTAAGGAGGCTCGGATGTGGAGCCCTTGCCCGCGCACGGAACCAGCGGGCCGGGCGCAGGGGCAGCTGTTTGCATCCGGCTTGGCCGTGGTCCTTTTTGTTTGGTTCTTCTTTTTTTCCTTTCTTCTTCTTCTGTTTTATTTCTTTATTTGGTACTTTTATTAATTCTGCCTGGCCCTCATCTGTGCTTTCGACTGAATTCAAAATTCAGTTTGTTTTCCGAGTTCCCCATCTTTGCCGGATCATCACGGCGGGATGGGCGGGGGGGCGGGGGGCGGAGAAGAGAACCCAGAGAATTTAATGTGGAACGCTGAAACTTAAAAAAAAAAAAATCCAGAGACACATAAGAAAGAGGCAAATGCTTTAGCTAGGGAGATATCGATATTTACCACTCTTTTCAGCCCCCACCCAGCACCCTGGTCCCCATTTACTGATCTGGCAGGTATGGCCCTGGAGCCAGGCATTGTTGTCATTTTCAAGACAGAAATCCAATAAGTCAAATTATTTTTTTTTTAAGAAGGAAAGTTTCTAACGGACGGTGATGAAAGAAACAATACATTAAAAGTATTTAGGGATGTCGCGCAGTACCTTCTGGCCGCAGTCAGAACATAAGAGGAGGGGGATAACTTGGCATCCTGCAAGGTTTCTATTCAAGCGTATGTTTCAGTCTCCCTCGGTTTAAGGGCAACCGCCCGCCTACAGCAGCCTCTGCGATCCAGGCGCGGGAGTTTGCGAACTACCTTAACTGCGGCGCAACGCAGCCTTCGACCACCAGAGGCACCGGGCGTCTGCAGCCTGTCAAAAACTGGCGCTTTTTTCCTCCCCTTTCCGTGGAGAGACTATCAACTCCATCTGTCACAAAACTTTAGGCTAAATCTCCTCTGGTGAAGCCGAGGCAGCCGCGGCTCCAGTACGCACTGCGTTCGGCTGTCCGCCTCTCCCCAGGGGCCCGGTGAGGTGGAAATGGCAAAACTTAGAATAGAGACACAACGTCTGCAGATTTATCAGGCTGCAGAAAAGCCTCCTGTTCCTGCGGAGCCTGCTGCATTCCTCAGAGGCTCAGGGTCTGCATTAGGAATTGCATTTCAGCAATTCCCCAAAACAAAACGAAACCAAATAAACGTTGAAGAGCCAGGGTGAAGACAGACAGACCTCGTTGCTCTGGCTTGATTAATGGAGAACGCACAAACAACAATAGCAATCCATATTTAAATATATTAAGTCTGCAACTGGATGGCCCTTTGGAACAACCATTTCCCAGATTCTGGGGTGTTTTTTGTTTGTTTTTCTTTTTATTTTTTTTGGTTATTTGGAATTGTAATCTCCGCCCTGCCGGGAGGGCTTAGACAAGTCACACTCCCTTCTATGCCTTGGACCTTTCACATGTAAGGTACAAGGCCAGATTGGATCCTTGAAAAAGTCCTTTCACGTTTAATACGCTGTGGCTTTAGGCTCATAAGAACAAGGTCGGCAGTCAGCTGCATTTTAAGCTGACGTTTGGTTTGTTGAGTTCCTTTAGAATAGTGGGTCTCAAACCTTAGTGAGCTTGAGACTTGCCTGGTGGCCTAGTTTAAAGCCACACTGCTGGGTCCTCTCTTGGAGTTCCTTATGCTGTAGGACTGGGGTTGGGGTGGGGAGCAGTACTCTGCATTTCTAACAAATTCTCAGGGAAAGCTGCTGCTGCCTGTTGGGAACCAACGTTTGAGAACACCCTTTCTAGAGGTGCACATGTTTTGTTGTTTTTTTGTAACACTAGCCCCCATCCTGGCCTTGGTAGGGCTCAGTGGGATTTCAGAAAGGCAAAGAGCTTTGAGAACTTTAAGGGAGTCACCTCAGAACCCCTGCCTCATGGCATTTCAGGCCTGCATGGCTTTCAGCAGCTGGAGAGAACAAACTTTTGAAAAGGAGGCTATGATGATGAGATAGAAGGAGGAATGAGCCCACTCCTGCATCGGCCCCGGAGACTGAGTATCACCTTGCCTTACATCCAGGTTTTCATTGATAGCCACCAGACCTCCAAGCCCTCTCTCATCACCCCCACACTAATCCCCATATCACTCTGTACATCCCTTAAGCTGACTTAAGCTTAAGTCATGATTCCCATCTTGAGCTTTCCCCCCCTCAACCCCACCCCCTCAAATCCCACTTCAACTGGAGTCTCAATTTGTTCTTAGCAAAATCTTGCATATTCCCAAGCTGCTTTCTGAGCTGATGCTCCACCTTCTTGCTCTAATTAAAACCAGCTGGAACATATAGAATAGGAGAAAATATTTGCAAACCCCATATCTGATAAAGGATTAATATGCAAAATATAACAGGAACTCATACCATTCAATAACAAAAAAAAATAAACAATTTGATTAAAAAATGGAGAGAGAATTCAAATAGACATTTTTCCAAAGACATACAAATGGCCAACAAATACATGAAAAGATGCTCAATGTCACTAATGATTGGGGAAATGCAAATCATACCACAATGATATATCACCTGACACTTACTAGAATGGCTGTCCTCAAAAAGAGATAACAAATGCTGGTGAGAATATAGAGGAGAGGGAACCCTCATGCACTGTTACTAGGAATATAAATTTGTGCAGCCACTATGGAAACCAGAATGGAGGTTCCTCAAAAAATTAAAAATAGAACTACCATATGATCTAGCAATTGCACTTCAGAATACTTTATCCAAAGGAGATGAAATCACTATCTTGAAAAGATATCTGCACTCCCATGGTCATTGCAGCATTTTGCACAGTAGCCAAGATAGAAAACTACCTAAGTATACATCAACAGGCTAAGAAAGGATCAGTAAAATGTGGTTTTATATGTATATATACACATACATATAATGGAACATGATTTAGCCATAGGAAAAGAAAGAAAAAAGAAGGAAATCTTGTCATTTGCATCAACATGAATGTCCCTTGAAGGCATTACGCTAAGTGAAATAAGTCAGACAGAGAAAGATAAATATTGTCTGGTTTCACCTATATGTGGAGTCTTAACTAAGTTCATAGAAACAGTGTAGAATGGTGGTTGACAGAGGCTGAGGGTTGGGGGAAATGAGATGTTGGTCAAGGGGTACAAACTTTCAGTTATGAGATGAGTAAGTTCCAGGGATGTAATTAATGTATAGCATGGTGACTGTAGTTAACACTACTGTGTTGTATACTTGAAAGTTGCTGTGAGAGTAGAACTTTAATATTCTCACCTTAACAACAACAACAAAAAAATGGTAATTATGTGAGGTGAAGGATGTGTTAACCAACCTTATTGTGGTATGCATTTCATGGTACACGTTTATTAAATTGTCAAATTGTAAACTTTCAACTTATACAATGTTATACATTAATTATATCTCAACAAAGCTGGAAAAATACATCCCAGCTGGCCTTTTGAGGCAGCCTTCCTTAAAAATGTTCTTCATTTCTGGCTGATTTTTCTTCCATAACCCACTTCCCACCAGCCCTGGAAATGGAGTAGATGGGCTGTTGTTCCTCCCTTGTTCCCACTTTGCCTGGAAACCTTCAGCTTCCTTGGGCGACTGTCTGCTACTCCAATAGTCGCCCACTGACTTTTCCTCCATCAACAATGCCTCTCGGGTTTCCCTTGTGGCTCAGCTGGTAAAGAATCTGCCTGCAATGCAGGAGACCTGGGTTTGATCCCTGGGTTGGGAAGATCCCCTGGAGAAGGGAAAGGCTACCCTCTCCAGTATTCTGGCCTGGAGAGTCCTATGGACTGTATAGTCCATGGGGTCACAAAGAGTCGGACACAACTGAGTGACTTTCACTTCACTCACAGCTCTTCTCAACCAGGACTGCTCCTGGAAACCACAGAAGACAGAGAATGAGTTGAGTGGCTATTTCCTCCTCAAGTATGGTATATAACCAGTACTGAAACTGAGGGTCATCAGTAACCAGTTAGCTCCAATAAACCTGTAACCTGCCTTCACTGACCAAACTTGATTTAATTTTTGCTACAGAAAACTTACATGTCCTCCAAGTGTCATGTGCCATTCTAAGGTGCTTCAGACTTGTCCGACTCTGTGAGACCCTATGAACTGTAGTTTGACAGGCTCCTCTGTCCATGGGATTCTCCAGGAAAGAATACTGGGGTGGGTTACCATGTCTTTCTCCAGGTGATCTTCCTGACCCAGGGATTGAATTGGTGTCTTTTACATCTCTTGCATTGGCAGTCGGGTTCTTTATGACTAGCACCACCTGGGAAGCTCCCAAGTGTCATGTAACCTAAACAATAAGGTGTTTGCCCAAGTTGTTTTATAGGAACTTGTACTCAGCTGTGCACAGTTGGAGCTGTGGCCAGTTAAGACCACCCAAGCATCAACTGAGCATGCTCGGTTGTCTGCCTGGTGACTTCTTCACATCAGAGAACCGAAAACTCTACCCTAAGAACATACTAATGTGCCATTTTCTAAACACTTGTCTCATGAAGACACCTGTAGCTTAAATGTGCCTGGGTAGAATGATGATTCCTCCCCCTTTTCTTACTTCCAATCCCCTTTCCCCATGCTCCCCACACCTCAGCTTTATCCCTTAAGTACCCTGAACCCTTCACCTTCGGAGAGGCACATGAGAAGTGTTCTTGGGTCTCCTCATTTGACTGCCTTGTGAATACACACTTTGCTGTAAACCTTGGCATGTCAGCGTTTGCC